TGCTTGCCTTGTGTCAGGAGCACAGACTGAAGCACAGAACGAAGCACATTGCTCTGCGCTACTTTCTTGCTCGAGAGTTGCAGCAGCGTGGTCAGCTTCGTCTTGCTTACGTGGCCTCTCAGGCCAACACTGCTGATGTTTTCACCAAGGCACTTCAGCCTTGTGATCATCAGCGCTTTTGTACTGTTCTAGGCCGTGTACCTACTGTGCCTCACTTGCTTACTTCTTGACTCTGCTTGTACTGTACTCTCTCGACATATACCTGCATGCTTACACTTGCTAAGTTGTGTTCACTGTATTGTTTGTTCTCCTTTATATAACTCTGCATGTGAACTGGCCTTGTGGCCATTTGCTTGTGCTCAGACTGCGTGGTGACTTTGTGATCCACCCTGAGCTTGCTTTGCCTTTCTTGACTGGTCTTGTGACCTCTTGTTCTCCCCCACTTTGCCTATGGGGGTGTGTCAAACTTATATGCTATTGTCTATCTAGGCTGTAGTGGGGTAGTTCATATAGGGTACAACACTCTTAGGTTTCCTACTTGTACCCACCTGCTTGCTAGTTCAGTCATTCATTCGGTCAGTATTCTAACACAGAGTCCTGCTCCCTCAGGTGTGTCTCAAGTTGACCCACTCCCTGGTACTGTGCCTGTTGAGGTCGCTGTAGACTCAGGTGCTGCTAGAGGTGCTGCGTCTGGAGGTGCTGCGTCTGGGGGTGCAGAGCGTGCGCGTGCGGAGCCTGGGGGTGCTGAGCCTGCGCGTGCGAAGCCTGGGGGTGCTGAGCCTGCGGGTTCGAAGCCTGGGGGTGCTGAGTCTGAGTGTGCGGAGCCTGGGGGTGCTGAGTCTGAGGGTGCGGAGTCTGGGGGTGCTGAGCTTGGGGATACAGCTTCTTGTGGAGGTCCTGCGGGTGCCTCGCCACGACTGTCTCCCCAGCCGGAGCCTCTCTCCCCGCAGCAGCTGCGCGAGTGGCTTGCTCGATGCACACGCCTTCGGAGTGGAGCTGCCGGAGCTGGAGACTCTGCCGCTTGAGGCACAAGAGCTGGAGGTTCCAGAGTTCCTGCTGGAGCTGGAGGTCCCGGAGGTGCTAGAGCTGCTAGTCCTGGAGGTGCTCGTACTAGGGTTATTTTCGGGGCTGGTGGGGCTGGAGGAGCTGGAGCTGGAGACCCTGGCGCTGGTGGCGCTAGAGCTAGAGGAACACGAGCTGTTGACCCTAGTGCTCGGGGTACTGGAGCTGCCGGGGCTGGTGGTGTTGGGGGCGCTGGAGCTGGAGCTGGAGGCGCTGGAGCTGGAGGAGCTGGAGCTAGAGACCCTGGCGCTGGAGGAGCTAGAGCTGGAGACCCTAGCGCTAGAGGCGCTGGAGCTGTTGACCCTAAAGCTGGAGGTGCTGGCGCTGGGGGTGTTGCGTCTGGCGGTACAAGTGCTGGAGGCACTGTGCAGCTGCGCCCGTTTTTTCGTTTCGCCGCCACTATCGTCTCTGCCGCCACCTGACTTGGTCCTTCGCCAGGTTCTTATCCTCCCGTCTTCTACTGGCCTTCCGCCTAGCTTACTAAGTCCGCCACCTTGCCAGTCGCAGCCACAGTTATAGCCAGACTCCCCACTGCCTTCTCCTTCTCCTTACGCTGAGCAGACATACTCTTTCACCGAGCATCGTGAGCCTGCATCTCGTCCTGCCTCGCCTGTTCGCGCCGTTCGCTCTGGTCGTCGGGTTCCTCGTCCTGTCCCCGGCACTCACGTTATGGCACTTCGTCCTTTCTCTGTTCCACTCCGCGTTCCTCTACCGCCTCCTCCTGAGTCCTCTCTTCCTACCGTTCCTGACCCTGAGTCTGACCTAGCTCGTGCTGCCAGTCCTACTGTCACTCGTCTTCTTGCCACTGTTGTCACTGACCCTTCTTTTGAGTTCACTGCTGCGTCTGCCCTAGTTGCTGAGCTTATTGACTTTGCTGCTGCCTGTCGTCTCGACTACGCCACTAGTCTTGTTGCTGAGTCTGAGTCTGACTGTCCTCCGTCTGTCGGGGGTGAGTGTGCCCTTGCAGCTGCTGTAACTCATCTCGTGGCCATGCTGCTTGCCCCTGAGGGAGACCCGGATGCACCAGACATCCCGACCCCGCGCTCTTACGCAGAGGCGATTACGGGTCCCTACTCCTCTCAGTGGCAGACAGCCATGGACGCAGAGATGGCATCCTGGAAGTCCAGAGGCACCTACGTCAACGTAGTTCCTCCTTTTGGGGTGAACATAGTCGATGGCATGTGGATTCTCAGGGTGAAGCGGCCGCCGGGTTCTCCGCCTGCCTTCAAGGCTCGTTACGTTGCACGAGGCTTCAGTCAGCGACAGGGAGTTGACTTCTTCCATACCTTCTCCCCTACCCCAAAGATGACCACTCTTCGGGTGTTGCTGCACGTCGCAGCTCAGCGTGACTACGAGCCGCACTCTCTTGACTTCAGCACAGATTTCTTGCAGGGCAGTCTGTACGAGGAGATCTGGCTGCGCCGCCCACCTGGCTTCACTGGGTCGTTTCCTGCAGGTACCCAGTGGAGCCTCCGACGGCCAGTCTACGGTCTACGCCAGGCGCCTCGCGAGTGGCACGACACACTGAGGACGACGCTTGCGGCTCTTGGGTTTGCTCTTTCTACTGCTGACCCGTCGTTGTTTCTGCGCACTGACACTTCGCTGCCGCCGTTCTACGTCCTTGTATACGTCCACGACTTGGTCTTTGCCACTGCTGACACTGAGGCACTAGCCCTTGTGAAGTCGGAGCTGCAGAAGAAACACACCTTCACTGACCTGGGTGAGCTGCGCAGCTATCTTGGCTTGCAGATCACCCGAGACAGAGTACAGCGCACCATCACCCTTACTCAGTCATACATGGTGCACCAGGTCCTTCAGCTCTTCGGCTTCCGGTTCTCCTCGCCACAGTCCACTCCTCTGCCTGCCGGTCACTCGCTCTCAGCTCCACCTTCGGACGAGTCCGTAGAGCCGAGTGGCCCGTATCCAGAGCTTGTGGGCTGCCTCATGTACTTGATGACCTGCACTCAACCTGACCTTGCCTATCCTCTCAGCACCCTGGCACGCTACGTTGCGCCCGGGAGACACCGACCAAAGCACTGGGAGGCCGCTAAGAGGGTGTTGCGCTACTTGTGCAGTACGTCGGGCATGGGGCTCGTGCTTGGAGGACGAGGTCCAGTTGTCCTCACGGGACACGCGGATGCTTCTTGGGTTGACGACTTGGCTACGCAGCGGTCGTCACAGGGTTCCACTTTCAGCCTTGGCTCAGGCTCTGTTTCTTGGTGGTCTACCCGCTCGTCTTCGAGTTGTGAGGCTGAGATCTACGCAGGGGCCATGGCTGCACAGGAGTTACGCTGGCTCACCTACCTGCTGACCAACTTGGGAGAGCGGCATCGTTCTTCTCAAGTGCTGTACGTAGACAACAAGGCCATGATTGCCTTGTGTCAGGAGCACAGACTGGAGCACAGGACGAAGCACATCGCTCTGCGTTACTTCCTTGCTCGAGAGTTGCAGCAGCGTGGTCAGTTTCGTCTTGCTTACGTGGCCACTCGGGCCAACACTGCTGATATATTCACCAAGGCACTTCAGTCTGGTGATCATCAGCGTTTCTCTTCTGTTTTAGGCCTTGTGCCTACTTTCCCTCACTTGCTCATTGCGTGACTTTGCTTGTACTGTGATCTATATATATACCTGTATGCTTACACTTGCTAGGGTATGATCACTGTACTGTTTGTTCTTATTTATATAACTCTGCATGTGAACTGGCCTTGTGGCCTTTGTTTGTGCTCGGAATGTGTGGTGACTTCGTGATCCACCCTTAGCTTGTTTTGCTTTTCTTGACTGGTCTTGTGACCACTTGTTCTCCCCCAATTTGCCTATGGGGGTGTGTCAACATGTTATATTGCTTACTTTGTGTAGGCTATAGTGGGGTAGCCCATAAGGGGTACAACCCAATTAGGGTTAGTACTTGTACCCAAGTTCTGTTCAATGCATTCATCCTCGTTCGTTAGTTTGACAAAAATCTCCCAGTGGACGTTTCACCTTCCTAACTTGTGTCTTCGCATTTCAGGCCATCCACCGCCTTGTGGATTTCCTCTGCTACGAGGCCAAGGGCATGGCCAAGGAGCTTATGGACTCTTTTGGCATTCCGGACGATCCGCTGAAAGCTTCAATCGGCCTCCAGTTAGGACAGTATGCTGAGTACCTCAGCTATGTCAGGTTCTGAGGGGGGTGTGGTGGAGTGCTACATTGCATGCACAGAGCTCGGCAAAGGATCGTATCTTTCATTTATGAGATGATCTGAAGTTCAGGTTTACTACGGTAATAGTGGTATCTACTGTGTGTATAATATGATAAGATTGAGTGTTTTTTGCACTAGGGAGGAAGGCAATATTGCTAGCAAGATAATGTGGTACTACATTGATTGTGTCAGGTGGAAATTGATATGATATCTTATCGTACTCAACATAGTAACCTCTCTGCGGCTCACTCACCCACCTCACCCCTATAAAAGAGAAGGGACTACTGTATTAGCATGTAACGTCATTATGAGATGTCCCCACACTGGTCATGAAGGTGCTCACAAAAGGGCAAGCAGTCAGTTGTCCACACTGCTACCAACTCAGCAACTTCTACCACACGAAAGGGCAAGCAGTCAGCAGTCAGTCAACCTTTTTTTTTTAGTTCCATCAGCCCTCTCTTCGCCCAGAATGTTATGGGGTCTTCTCTCACCCAATCTCTCTCCCTCCTCCACTCTGACACAGGGAGCATGCCAATGCTCATGCACATGATACATGTGGGGAGCATGCCAATTCCCAAGCCACTAGGGAAAAGCTGCTGGGGGAGCCCCAACTGTGCGCTTGTGATGACACTTCTGCTCTGCAATATCCAGATCATGGTACCGTATTACAAGAAAGGAGCGTCAGGCACACCTTTCAAGGCTTGTACACATCACGTACAACTGACTATGATTTGAACTAGTGCACGCAAGCCAAGACACCCTAAGGGGTTGCACCACCTTTCTTGGACCACCTCTCCATAAGCTGATCCACAACTTCCTTAACTTCGTGCATTCGTTTATGTGCTTTCTTCTTCACCCCCTCCACAAGCCTCCCTCCAACATGCATCGCTTCTTCCACCAACTCAGATGCTCTGCTCCCTGCGTCACCATCCTTGTCCCCCCCGACACGGTGTTGTGCTTCAACAGTGCGTGTGACTGCTTCCTCTTGTGGCTTCTGCGTTCCTGTCAACCGCTTTCCGAGCTCCCTCATTTGGCTCACCACCCCCCCATCTGACGCTTCTCCAGCAGCTGTGCCTCGCTGCAGGGCCACCCCTACAGCAGCCTTGGCGCCTTCAACAGTGGACGTGGCCTGCTGCTGCAGAAGTTGAGCTAGTGCAGAAGGGACACGAGGGACGGCCTGCCCTGCAGCCTTCACCCGCTCCACTGCTTGCTGCAGCAGCTGCCTGGCCTTCACTACCGCAGCGTCAGGGCTCCATCCAAAGGCAAAGCCCCCACCGTTCTCCCTCTCTGCTGCTTGCTTCCTGGCTAGAATCCCAGCCACTCGCTCAAGCAACTGCTTCTCCTCCTCTGACGCTTCCACTGCTATGCTGCCATCCTTCCCTTCCCCTACACCACCATCATCTGTTCCTATGCCTGCACCATCCACGCTGCTCCCATCCTCCCCTCCCCTTATGTCGTTCTGTTGCTGCCACCTGCGCTGCAGCTGCAGGCGAGCCCGTTGCAGCTCCTCCGCTGCGTCCTGCACCAGCTGTGCCTGCTCCTCTGTCACATGCCTGAGGAGGAAAAGACCGGCAGGACGCAAGAGAAAGAAAGTTCCTACAGGAACCAGATGAATATTTAAACTGGTGAAAAGGCACAATGTTAACGTGAACCGTTAGGAGACGGCATTACCATGAACAGAACCCCACCTCTTTGCCTCCAGTTGCTCCTTTTCCACTCGCAGCTCCTCTGCTTCTTCAGCGGCAGCAGCAGCAGCAGCCCTCGCCTCAGCAAGTGCTTCCTCTGCTGTCCTCCGCTCCTGCTCTACCTTGCTAATCTGCTTCTCCACCTCCTGCCTCTGCTGCTCCAATGCTGCCTCCGCTTCCTCCTTCTCTCGCCGTGCCTCCGCCCTCATCCCTGCCAGCACCTCTCGCTGCTGCTCCAGCTCCTCCTGTGGAGAAAGGGCAGCAGGGGTGGGAAGGGATCATGCACAAGTGCTTCGCACACATGGAGAACAGCAATACAATGGAATGCTCGCAGCAATGTAATGCCACAAACATCACCAATCTAGATTCTCAACTACCCACAATCAGACTTACCCACCAAACGAAATCAGACTAGACATATGCATTCCTCTGCTCCCCACACTCTCGCACAACACCCCCCGCCCTTCCCTCTCTAACCTTTTCCGTCTGCAGCTCTGTCTCAATCCGTTCCACCCGCGCCACAGCAGCCTCTGCCGCCCTCTCTGCCTCCTCCCGGCGCCTCCTCTCCGCCGCCACCGCCTCTTCCTTTGCTGCCAGCACTGCTGCCTCTGCCGCTGCCGCGGCTGCTGCCTCTTCCTGCACCACAGCCATGGCCGCCTCGGCTATGTGCTCTGCTTCTACGCGTGCCATCTCCCCCGCCACCACCTCGCTCACCCCGCCCCCCGCCAGCGCCACTGCTGCCTGCCCGCGCGTCACTGGCTTGTGCGGGTCAAAGCGCCGCGTGAAGCCTGGAGAGGGGTGGGAGAGAGGGGTGGAGGCACGGGTGCGGATGTTGGCGAGTGGTTTTGACCCATTTGTCAACATGGCATTGTTGCTTTAAGCTGTGTGATGGTACTGATGGTTTCACCATTTATTGCACTGGTGTAGATATATAGAGGTATCGTATGGAGGATTGGAGGCATGGCAGCATGGAGGCATGGAGGAAGGGACATACCGAAGGCAGCAGCAATGATGCTCCTGTCGCCTCTGAGCACGTCCTGTGCGATGGCAGGCAGGGCATCCTCGTCCACCCTCTCCGCGTCTATGAACCCCACCACTGCTACCACGTCCTGCCACGTGGACCCACACATGCATGCAGAGGGAGAGGGGAGAGGAGCCAAGTTACTCGTTAAATAATATAGAAAGTTTAAGGTTACATAGGGAGCAAGGGTGACAGGAAGAACCAACAGAGGAAGCAAAAAAAGAGCTCTACAAAATGAATAAATACATATATATATAGATAGATAAATATATCTCGCAAGTTTGAGGGGTGGAGTGAGGCATGTTGCGCACCTCCTTGGGCTGCAGTGGCATCATGTTGTGGTAGTCCAGGGAGAGCTTCCAGGAAATGAGGTCCTGACGAGTCAACGCACTGCCAACACAGGGGTTGAGGCGAGGGTGAGAAGCAACGAGACGGCAGGTGAAAACGAGCATGACAGCACAGTGCGCGCATGGTGGAGTAACGGCATGGATGAAATACATGGCAACACCATGCGATGGTGGTATCGTGGAGAAGAATGTAAATGTCATGCTGGTGTGCCAACATGGTATGGTGCATTAAGAGACGGTGGCAGGTTAGACTAAGAATGTAAACCCTAAACTAAGAATTCATCATGGTGGCATAACTGTAGCATTCAAAGAGCTCCCTAGATATGCCTCCAGCACGTTAGTGGTGGTACCAGTCAGGGCGGAAGGCAGCACTGGCCCCAGCACTGCACCCCCTGCGGCGCGCAGCAGCAGCGGCACGCGGGCAGCCCAGGTCCGCATGAGAAAGCTTGCTGGCGATCAGCCCTGCCTCTGCCAGCCCTGCTCATGCGGGATAGGGGAGAGTGGGCGATTGAGAGAGAGTGAGAGAGGGGCTACGAAGTGTGTGAGAGGGTGAGAGAGAGTGGTCAGGAAGTATGGCACGGATGTTCTTGAGTTGTAACTCATGATGCGTGCAAGTGGGTTGATGCTGCAAGCGCACGAGAGTCAAATCGCGTATGCAACACCAAATGTGGCATCTCCAGGCCAGACATCTCACGTCACACAGCGAGCAGTACTGCGAGCAGAACGCACTGCTAATAACGCACGGCATGGGGCATGGGGCATGGGGCATGGGGCATGGGGCATGCGGCATGGGGCATGCGGCATGGGGCATGGGGCATGCGGCATGGGGCATGGGGCATGCGGCATGGGGCATGGGGCATGCGGCATGGGGCATGCGGCATGGGGCATGGGGCATGCGGCATGGGGCATGCGGCATGGGGCATGGGGCATGGGGCATGGGGCATGGGGCATACCCTGAATGTAAGGGAAGTCGGGGTCAGAGGCGGGCACGTCATCGAAGGCGAGTGCGGTGGAGCCATACACGTACATGGCGGGGTAGATGCGATCCGATGCCGCCCTGCATGCACCACCGCGGGAGGGAGACGTGGTGATGCCAAGGGAAAACAACAGTGGGAGCAGCGGTGTGACGGGCGGTGGAATGGGATGGAATAAAATTCCCGTCCACGAATCTGAGAATGGTGTGTGCATGTGCCCCTGTGCGAGTGCGTGCAGGCTTGCTTCGCCAACTGCCATTCTCGTCATCTCTCCACTCCCTTCATTCACTGTGCCTTCCCTAGCCTGAGCGTGTGGGAGAGCAATCATGCCTCACCGCGACAGTGTGTTGGAGGCGTGCACCAGCCAGCGAGCGAACTCCCTGCGAGAGCAGATGCCCGCCGCGTCCACACCCTCCTCTATCACCTGCCACACTCTCACAGCAGCAGCAACAGCAGCCGCAGCACGCATGCAAATGTAGCGGCAGGGGCACAGAAGCACATGAGAACATGTGGGAGCACGAGGTGAAACAAGGCGTACATGACGGCAAGGAGCAAGAGCATGACAGTTACAAATCAACCACCCCTTCCCGTCCCTCTCCATTCCCACCCTTCCTTGCTCCCTGCCACCCAACCCCAACCCTTTCAACCCCCCCACCATCCTTGCCAACATCCATTCCCTCCACTCCCTTTCCCCCCACCCCCTCCCCCCCCCCCCCCTCCCCCCGCACCTCCAGCGCCTGCAGCGCCTCCAGCGCCGTGTGCTGCGAGCTGTCCACGGCTGCACGCACCACTACCTGCCCCGCCCTCGCCTCACCCGCCCCGCCTGCTGCAGGGGGCGCGGCGCTGAGCGGCGCAGGCACAAACACCGCCATGCCCCATGGCATGGGGCTGGCACCGCCTGCACTGCTGCTCGCGCTGTCAGCTGCTGCTGCCGCAGGCGGAGGAGAAGGCACAGCAGCAGGAGCGGGAGCAGCTGCAGGGTCGGAATCAGCAACGCTCGCAACAGCCGGCACTCCACTCAACGTCACGTCCTCTGCTGTCGCCACTCCCTCACCCTTTTTACCTCCCCCATCCGCTTTCTCTCGAGACGCTCCCTCCACTTCTCCTCCCCCCTCACGCCGTCCCTCCATGGCCTTCTCCCCCGCCTCCCCCCCCTCCGCGCCCTCTCCCGCCTGCTCCGCCTGCATGGCCTCCAGCCATGGGCGCAGCTCCGACACTGACTCCGCCATCTCCGCCGCGAACGGCCCCACCACGTCCTCCCCCTCCTCCTCCGCCCCGCCGCCCACTCCCAGCGCGCTCAGGGCCGCGCCCGCCTCCCCCTGGTTCCCCGACAGCAGCTGCTCCAGCCCCTGCGCCTTGCTCCCCGCCTGCTCTGCCGCCTCGCCACGCAAGGCCTGCTTCTCTTCGCCCTGCTGCCTGCCCGCTGCCTCACTGGAAGCAGCAGCAGCAGCAGCGGCGGCGCCAGTGGTGGTGCCGGGGTGCGGCAGGGTGATGGCGAAGGGGAGGGGCGGGGGCGTGTCAGCAGCGACAGTGGCAGCAGCCACGATCTGCGACGGCAGCAGCAGGTCGTTCAGTGACGGGTCAACGCCCCTGCTCGATGCCGCATCCCCCATTCCTCCCGTTCCTGCTGCCCCATCCGCGCTCACTGCCCTTTTCGCTCCTGATTCTCCCTCTCCTCCCGCCTGCCTCTCCGCGCCCGTCTCCCCCCTTTTCTCGCTGCCTGACCCCTCAGAACCACTCAGGGCCGACGCGGGGGCAGCAGCAGTAGCAGCAGACGCATCGGTGGTTGGTGCTTGGCCCGACGGGCTGGGTTGAGCGGAGGACGGCAGCAGCGTGCCGACCACCGCCGCTTCAGGCGGCTTGGGAGCACTGGTACGGCCTGCAGAGGACACTGGGGGGGGGGGAGAAACGACGGCGGGCGTGGGTTTAGGATTCACTGGCCTGCTGCTGGCGCCGACGATGGCGATACTTGCGAAGATGTACACGCGAGCACTTTTACTGAATCACTCACTTGCTCACACCAGAGTACAGAGTAGAGGCAGAGGGAGAGGGACGGGCAGAGAAAGAGGGAGGGGAAGAGGGAAAAGCAGACGCCGAGACAGAGTGGCAACGGGATGAATCGGGTGACTGGTGATGGTGCACAGGGCAGGCGAGAGCAGCAACGCACCTCGTTTGTGCAAGCCGGCGAAGGCAAGCGCGCCGAGCCCCAGCAGCAGAACGAAGCCCGCCGCGAACTCGGGAAGGCCTGTGGTCACAGCAGATGGGGATGGGATGGGGGATCCGCGCAAGCAAGAACGACGTCAAGTGAATGAGGAACGGCAGGTGGGACGCGGGGGGCAATGGATGGCGCGAGGCAGGTAATGCGGCAGCATGGCACGACCGTCCTGCATCAAATGGGACGTGCGGCTGGCCGCGCAGCCTGCATGTGCGCTCATAGCGTCAGCAGCAGCACGATCGCCGCCTCCAGATACTTCGTATCGTGGCACCTATCTTCGTTTCTTGAGCTGTCGCGCCCGGCAGGTCCAACGCGCAGCGACTACGACGAGATCCCACGATGGGTTGCGACAAGGCGTTGCACGAGACGGGGTATGTTGCTTCTTTGGATGTACGTGCGGAATCTACCTTGGAATGCTCGTCGTAGATCACGACATACCTGGCGGGTTACCCGCCGACGATCGTGATTGGTCTAGATCCGACGGATCGCTCCATCCCCCGGAAACGTCCTTCTTCTGCCCATCGCCCCACGTCACCGCAACATCACCGCCGCCGCCTCCGCCACCCGCTCCGGGCCTGCTCGCCCCGTTGAGCGCGCCTGGCGGAAACTCCGCCCCCGAGGATCGTTCTGCGTCCTTCCGCGGCTGCTGGCCCTCCCCGCCCGTGGAGTCGCTGAGAGGCGCGTCGCTGCCCGCCTTCGATGCGCGGAGAGCGCAGGGACGAGACGGGGGCAGCGGAGCGAAAAGCGGATTCCGGAAGGAGCGGAGGGGAAGGAAAGGGGTGCGACGGTGCGACGATGTGCGACCAGCTGAGGATGGGCGAGAGTGGATGCGACGAGGAAGTAGAGTGGACGAGGAGGAATGGAGGATAGGGGCTGCAGTGGCGGAGAAACAAGTAAGAGGCGTTTGTCCTGCTGTTATCGACGACGATCCCACGCACTGTCCCGCCATGGCTGCGCGACTTGAGACGGAAGGCGACGGGAAAGAACCGCCTCCAAGGTGTGCGCGAGATTCAAGAACGGAAATGGGGCGCAGAATCTTTCTTGCTTTGGGTTTATTACAGGCAAGATGGTGACGGACGCGAGCAAAACTCTCGGAAGGTGGATGAACGGTTCACACGAAACGAATCAAGACGCACTTGATCGAATTCACCTCTCGGGCTTACTGGTTGTATCGAGTCAAGAGGCTCACTTAGCTTCTAAGGCGAACAAGTACTCCTTCACACGACACGTCAGACTGATGTTCACGGGATCTTCCCATGAGATGGGAGGAGTTCGCGTTAGGATTCGCTGAGCCACGCCGGAACAGTGAACATTAGTCAGTGACTAACTTGTACTCCTTACGAACACTGGTAGATTCTGTTATACCTTCATCGTTTTGGTTTACCGAACTTCACAGGCAAACATGTGGTGGAGACAGATTTCTCATGGCTTTTAGTCCTGATGGTCATTATGAACCTTTTCTGGTCGTGACAGTTTGATGAACATCACTATAAACAGATGCATTTGTACACACAGCTCATCAGATAAAGTGGGTTGAAGCATGTGCCAATGCCCAGGTCCTTGTCTGAGGCTGAGAGGTCACTGCAAGTTCAACTTATTACTGGTTGGTGCTCAGAGTTCCCTGCGCTCCAGTACAATAGGAGGGATACCCCTGCGTATTTTCACTCCTCCACATTCTGGGCACTGCAACGGTCAGTAGGGGGTGCAGGGTGATGCGAGGAAGTCATTCGACTAAGTGGCAGGTGAAACGTTATGTCATGAAAGTTGTTTGAGTGGGAAGGCCCAGGGTGCAATAAGGGGAAGGAAAGAAATCAGGAAAGGAGGGAACGAAAAATGAAGGCCAGGAGGATAGGAGGGAGGACAGTCAAGAAAGAGAAGGCCGTGCAGAGGAACAGGAAAATCACGTTCAAAGATGACTCGTGTGGTGATGGAACAACCATAGCAGAACTTCCGCCCACACAAACCTTGGAACACCCTTCGCCTACACAGGCCGAACACGGATCATTGCGGTCGAACTTTCCCTCCCAGCGAATCAAGCCCGTGCCCTTGCATAACGTGCAGCAGTGTAGCCCATACCCGCCACACAACTCGCACTGCTCACCAACACACACACCAGCGAGATAACATAGAAGGTGAACGTTGAGGGGACAAATGGAGAGACATATGAGACAAACCTTGGTGACACCAGGCGAGAGGCGGGTCTAGCATGGGAACTGCGCATACATCCTTGCAGGCATGGGCATGGCCTCACCTCGTTGCCATGTTCCTCATGCTCGTGCTCATGCTGGTGCTGGTGCTCCCTCATCACCAGTGTAGCTATGCCAGCCACAGCCAGCACAACTGCCACCACCACTCCTCCCTTGCCTGTAGTCACTCACACCAAGCACAAGAGCAACGCAATAGACGGAGTCAATATGGCTGCTACCTTCAACAATCCTGCCCCCGCTGTCAACACCCCAATTCTTTTTCTTCCCTGACTTCTCCCTCCTCCTCCAACTCTCCACCTCTATCCCCACCTCCTCTGCCCCCCTCTCCTCCTCACCTCGCAGCGCCCCTGTCATGCGAGCTCCTGGCCGTCCCGCTGTGGCGGCCGCAGCGCTCACAGTCGCCACAGTCCGCGACGACCGTCGCAGCAGAGCCTGCGACAGCGACGCTGTCGCCACCTGCGCCGCGGCTCGAGTACTTTCGTGCCCCACGTTGGTCTCCTCCAAGCCTGTGCCCGGCCCCGCGGCGGGCCGGGCGGCGATGACGCCGGCGAGCTCATGATGCTCGTGAGACGAGGCGGGAAGGGCGGAGCTGCAAGGGGGGTTTGGGAGAGGGGGAGACGAAACGGTAAGTCCGATCCATTCGCAAGCCTCGCGTGCCGCTTTCGTGCCACAATATTTTACCCTGCCTCTCACCTGCTCGTGACACCAACTTCCGCCGCCTCGCCACCCGCTTCGCGCGCAGTAGCAGAGCAAGAGAAGCTCCAGCGGCGCGGGACACCATGACTCGCACCGAGCGACGGACTATGGCCGTTGGAGTGGCCAAGAGACGGGGAGCGGCGGAGGAATGGGGACGCGCAGAAACAGGAGAGTGCGTGCGGGCGTGCAGGCATGGTGGTCGCCACGGCGAGCGACGTGCACGTGCCTGTAGTGCTGCTGATATTGGGTGGTCGAGACGCAACGGGAACAGAGAAACCGATCAGTGAGAAGTGAGGTGTGGGGGAGGAGAAGAAGCGTAGACATGCGTGGCGTGACTTCTCATACCCTCGCTGTTTCCCGCTTTGGAAAACCAGGGTAAAGACAAACTGAAGACGACGAGTTATCAAATCGGGAAGTGTAAGGAGCTCAGCGACTCTGAGAAAGGAGGGCTCAAAAGGAAAGGACGCGATGGTGACAATTGGAGCGCCATGGCCACTGCAGTGTGGTCCTCACCTGTCAATGCGAAGAGCCGCCGTGGAATGGCCACGTGTCAGCGCTGTGGAGTGGCACGCAGATGGTACTAGCGATGCCATTAGGCAAGGGCGGTCAGAGCGCGCAGGCGCAGACGAACGGGAGAGGCTGATGGACTTAAGAAGAAAAGGCATGGTTGACTCCTTTGTTTCGCAAAAGGTCTACCTCAGATGCTACAGTACAGTAGTTGTGTGTGGGTGGAGTAAGTCGGTGCAGGCGGACGACTATGTGGTCCCGTTCATTCAGTTTCAAATGTTTTTTATCCTCCCCTTATCTGGAAACGATATTGGGCTCAGAACGGATAAAGTGAATATTCTAACATCAGGAAACTTTGAGATAAACTTCCTTCATTATCCTTTTTGCTTCACTATAACTGCCCATGGTGTGATTTTCAAGTGCATTTTCAAGAAGGGTGTGCAAAACCTGTCATTTTAGACACAGGCCCTAAACTCTCGGGAAATATCTACAAGTTTGCTGTCGCCCTAACCCGATTCGTCAATTCCTCGAACCCATGGTGCTATGAACCTGCACCCGTACCTGCGAGAGAATTGCTCCAGTGCCTTGTTTGGTGATTCGCTCTTGCCCACGTGTCCCCGAATTGCTCGAGTGGCCATCCAATTCAGTGATAATTGCTCGAGTGGCCATGCCAGGGCATTTTCGATGTGTTTTTTTTCCCTGGCACATAACCCTACAAGGGTTCGTATCCACGAAATTCCTCGTTCGCACAACAGTAGATGCGCGGTCATTTTCGGCCCTATGCGCGACCAATGAGCGCGCGGGCAATTACATCAGCGATCATAAACCGCAACGCCAGAGCATAAATGCACGAACATATTATTGACCACGCACGATTGGTCGATAATATGTTTCTTGCCCTTTTTGGCAATGCGCGTCTAATCACGCACCGTCATATAATTCACGACCATATATTTAGGTGATAAAGCTTCGCCTAACAACCAATATGAGCGCGCATATACTACCATTAGTTCTATCATATGTCCGGTCCATATAAAACCATGCATATCAAATGCCATACATATATTCTCTGCTATTGTACTAGAAATAATATTGTATCGTGGCCTATCATAATATTAAGCCCATCATACCGTGGTCCATAATATTGTATTGCCGGTAATATGTTGCAGAAATAATATGTTCGGCAGCATAATATTAATTTAAGCCCAGCATAATATGCTGCCACCACGGTTATGATGGGCTTAAATTAATAGCAGAGAATATATTTATGGCATTTGATATACATGGTTTTATATGGACCGAAAATATAATAGAACTAATGGTAGTATATGCGCGCTCATATTGGTTGTTGGGCGACCCTTTATCGCCTAAATATATGGTCGTGAATTATATGACCGTGTGTGATTGGACGCGCATTGCCAAAAAGGGCAAGAAGCATATTATCGACCAATCGTGCGCGGTCAATAATATGTTCGTGCATTTATGCTCTGGCGTTGCAGCTTATGATCGCTGATGTAATTGCCCGCGCGCTCATTGGTAGCGCATTGGGCCGAAAATGACCGCGCATCTACTGTTGTGCGAACGAGGAATTTCGGGGGTACGAACCCTTGTAGGGCTATGTGCCAGGGAAAAAAAACACCTCGAAAATGCCCTGGCATGGCCACTAGAGCAATTATCACGGAATTGGATGGCCACTCGAGCAATTCGGGGACACGTGGGCAAGAGCGAATCACCAAACAAGGCACTGGAGCGATTCTCTCCGTACCTGCCGCCAAAGTTCTTCTGAATTTCCATGGTTTGTCTGAGAACCACACGACACGACACGAGTGGTTGATGCAAGTCTGACGTGCGTCGAATGGCTGGCAAAGCTCGAAGGCCGTGGCGCCAATAAGAACTGAACGGCGTTACACTCTCGGTGTCTGCTACTTTACGTCGTCCGTTCCTTTGCAATTGACGTGGATGCTGTACCACTGAATGGTAGAGGGTGCGGAACCTATCAGCTCGTTGTTTCGCTATCAGCTGAGTCGTGTTTCATGTTAGCTGAGATTTATGTATATTTATTTTCCAGCGCTTGCAAGTATCAAAGGCTTTGTGGAAAGAGATCATTAATGTGGCTTGCTCTTTGGAAAAGTCATATCTTCCTCGGTCCAGCCACTATCGAAGACAATCTTGCCAGCCTTTCAGGCTGGGCTTTTTGGCTTGCGAATCTCGAGGCTCCCGCAACCTCTCTCGTAATGCCACATCACCATTTGGCTCCCCCAAGTGCCCTTTCGGGAAGCAGGGATTTGCATGGCGTGGATGGTGGGGCCAAGTTGTGTGCATGGCGTGCAGTGCATGCAGCGAGCGGGTGGAGTCTAGTATCTGCGTTCAGCGGTGATTAGTTACTCCCACGCTCACAGCAACGCCAGAAGCAACACGTACTGGTCGCCGCTAACCACGTCTGCAGCTTCCTTGCACGAGCTGAAACCATGGATGCCTGCGTCGCTGCCTCGTTCTCCGCTCCCAAGTGCGCTGTCACCGCGGCAACAAGCTCATTTTCAAAATCCACCACTCCGCTCGTCCAATGCAGCGCTTTCCGCGGCACGCCACTTCGCACGCCGTCGCTGGCAGCTGGTCGTAAGCTAGTAGCCCCGGTAAAGCAGAGGCAGACAGTAAGAAACGGGCTGTTCGATTTCGTTGAAAAAATCAATTTCCCAACAGATTTGTTCACGGCGTTCACGGGCCCGAAGGTGAGCGATGAGGAGCGCGCGGCGCTCAAGGAGGAACTGCTGGAGGCCATCGCGCCGCTCGAACGAGGACTCACCGCCACGGAGGAAGACGAGCAGATCATCGAGGAGGTATCGCGTAGATGGTCTTTCTTCCACGTCTGCATTTGCTTTCCTCGTTTCGTCGAGACGATATAGAGCGTACCCAGTTTCTGCCGTCACGCGCGACATTCCCTCGTTAGTATGCGTTTACTCGCGTCGCCACAGTTTCATGCGCGCTCGGCCTCTGTACCCGTCGCATTCGCAGCTCTCATTCGCGCATTTGTCTCTCCGCGCCTCCTGCCCGCCGTGACGGTAACCCACCGCATGAGCTTTTCCGTCTGTTGCCCTTCTCTCGCTCCGTCTCGCGCCGTCTCGCCCCGTCCCCCCACGCCGTGTCGCAGCTGGCAGCGCAACTGGAGGCGGTGAATCCGACGAAGCAGCCGCTGCGGTCGGCGCTGATCAACGGCAAGTGGAAGCTGCTCTACACCACGTCCGACACCATCCTCGGCCGCAATGTCAGTCGCCGCGCGCAATGCCGCCTCTAGAAGCTCGAACAGAAGGAACTCCGAGTAGCGCAGGGCAGTCATGAATTTGTGCCATGCCATCCTTCAGCCCGCTCCATGCGCTCCCGCTCATCCACCACCCGTCGCTTAGTCTATCCCGTTTCCCCCGTCCCTTGTCGAGCTTATGAGCCGGATTCTTTGTTGTCTTTTCCTTACTCGCCCCGCCCATTGCCCCCACGCCATGTCTCCGCGCCTGCCGCTATCCCCATAACTGCTGCCGCGCAGAGGCCCTTCTTCCTGCGCCCCTCGGGCCCCATTTTCCAAGCCATCGACGGGGAGACTCTGCAGGCGCGCAACCTCGAGACGTGGCCCTTCTTCAACCAGGTACCCGCACCGCTGCTGCTGCCGTTGCTGTCGCCGCTTCCGCCACTGCTGGTGCTGCTGCTGACGCAGGTCGAACGCAAATGAAAGAATGAACCGCGCATTGAATTCTTTAGCAACCTGGGCATCACCCCACACGCTCTCTCATTGCACCCTGCTCCTCTCGTGCTGCTTCGATGCGCGGTGTCGTGCCCCTGTGCGTGCCAGGTGCAAGCCACGCTCACGCCCACGTCCGCCTCCGCCGTGGACGTCAAGTTCGACGTCTTCAAAATCCTCTCCCTGGTACGCTGCTCGCCGCTCTGCTACTCGCTGCCTGGGTGCGTGCACCTGTTCACCCCCTGCCACTGTCCCCTGTGATCACTTGGACTGGCATACCTGCTTACAACCTCCCGTCCTGCTCCATTGCCGCGCATCACGCTCAAGAAGTTGCACTGCTCCTAATCCCTGCCTCCTTGCTGGTTGGCAGGTGCCTATCAAGGCACCAGACACAGCCAGGGGTTCCCTTGAAATCACCTACCTAGACGACGACCTCAGGTCAGCTTGCTCTGTGCCCATGGCCTTGTTCTGATGCGCCACCTTCTTGTTCTGGTTGTCCATTTTCAAGCCACTTGAAAATAAGTGTCTCTCTGTTACTCTCCTGGCGCTCTCTGTGCACTGGAGGGGGCTTCTGAAAACTTCCTAGATCAACCCTGGTTCTCGTTTCCACCTCATTTCACCTCGTTCCCCCCCCAACTGTGGTACGGTATGCTGTGTGCAGGATCTCACGGGGCAACAAGGGCAACCTTTTCGTACTTACCATGGAGGATGCCTCGTACCGCATTCCCCTGGGAGAGGAAGAGATCGAGGAGGAAGAGGAGTGAATTGCCAATTAAGGCCGACTGCATCCGGTACTTGAGCCTCAGGTCTCCAATTTGTTCGGTACACATTGCGAGCGCATTGTGGTCGATGCAGTAAATCTACCTAAACTTGCTGCATTTTTCAGTAAAAATGTATCCTGAAATGGCCAGCCAGCCTTGGAGCGGTAGGGTTAAAGTACGGTATTGGTTTTGTTTTGAGTGCATGCATCTGTCTAAGAGTCTAGATTCAATAACATTTGATATCAAGCAGTTACCATGGTCTCGTGTAATTCACTCCAACTATGATTGGTATCAGCATCAGCAAAGCAGCATCTTGGATGTTACACTCTGAAGCATAGCTTCTGTACTGGCTCTAACCTACCATACTGGTACCGACTTATATAACCGCCGTTCTTCACTGTTTTCATGTCCATTAGCGGTTGACGATTTAGCCTTGCCGGAACTCTTCAGGCATATATTCTCGAAAACAATACAAAATGGCATGACTACGGTACCACAAAATGGCACCTGGCGAACAAAAGGTAGAGTCCTGGAAGGAATTAAACAGTGTGGTGTGGCCAAAAAGGTGGATGTCGTACCCAGCTCTTTGGAGCTGACATCAAGTGGTAACCTTAAGAGGTAGTGTCCGGGGTGGTGGCAGGCACAATCTTGGGGGTCTGATACTTGGCCTCGGTGGCATACCAGTCGTCAAGGCTGACCAGCGCATTGAACTCAGTGAAGGTAGCCAGACGCTCCATCGCCCCGCGTGTGGTGCCCTCCTGCTTCAGCTCCTTGTGGATGTCAATCAGCGCACGCGTGGATGCATACAGCCCCGTCAGCGGGTTCACTATCAGGTGAAACCCAAGGTCCTGAAAAGAGGCGAGGGAGGGGAGAGGAGATGGATAAGCAGCCAAATCGGAAATGGAAAGCAGTAGGAGAAGCGACGGACGCTGGAAATGAGTTGGTGTGCAATGGTTCGGCAAATGCGTGTCAAGGGTTGGTGCTCACAGAAAGCTCCTGAGGAGTGAGGAGGGGAGTAACACCCCCCTCCAGCATGTTGCACACTCGAAATCCCCGCGTGTTGCGCCCAATCTCCCGCAACTCCTCCACATCACGAGGCGCCTCCACAAAGCACCCATCGGCTCCAGCCTGGATAGCCACGCCAAAGACACAATCACGATACTCTCAGCATAAGAGAACATCACACGAGTGGGCTATTGGGTAACGGCGAAGAGCACAAGCGGGAACTGAGAACGTACGTCCATGTATAGGTTGGCACGTGCAATGGCATCAGCGAGCCCTCTCTTCTGTGACGTGGCGCGAGCATCTGTGCGTGCCACAAGGAAGAAATCCGCATCACCAATGGCGTCCCTCGCTGCTGCTATCTTCACTGCAGCCTCCTCCGCTGGAATCACCTGCACACAAAGGGAACGAGAAAGGACATTTTTCACAAGATGCCGTACGCACTGGGCTTATGCTGGAACATTCTCTGTGCTGAGAGCACTACATCTGGCTCAAGCTATTCTTTCAAAGTTGAATAGAAGGAGATCATGCTGTGTGCTGGTCACAGCACGTAGCTGTTACTCGCACGCACCTGCTTGCCCCTCATGTGCCCTGATGTCGGCACCGTGCAATGAACGCCACGTCAGGGAGAAAAAGGAAGCGAGACCAGTGTGACGATGGGAGGTGGGGGGAATGGGGAAAAGAGGATTCTGTCAGTGTACAGGTTAGTGTAATACCAAACGAAGCGATAAGGTGGGTTGATAGTGAAAAGCGAGGGATCGTGTAGTAGCAAGGAAAGGACAGCCTCTCAGGCACCAAGTGATAGCAGGCTGGGAAGGAATGCACGGAGCAATGCTTCGGCTATGCGATTTGTGACGGAAGTGGATGCACTTGCGAACAGCGGAGCACATTCGGGGAAAACGGTGCGCAAGGAAGGAGTGCTCAGACGAGGCGAGAGCAGGGACACGCAATGCGTGCACGGCGGAAGGTGCAAAAAGCGGTCCTGGTTGCAGGCTCACCTCGATGAAGCAGCCCGCAGCACCGGCGGCAATGAGGTCCTTCACTGTGCGCTGCACGTTGAGCGCATTCCCGCCCCCAGTGTCTGCCAGGACCGACCCGATTGGACGAGATAAAATGACAAGTCGAGCGAGAAGGAGAGATGGAAGGGGGGAAGAGTTGAGGGTGGAGAGAGAGAACGGAACGGATAGGGAAAGGGAAGTTTGGTGGGCTGGGCACTAGGAGATGGTACAGGAGATACGGGTTAAGAGTATGTGGATTAAACAGTAAAGCACAGAAAACGGGCACGCACCTGCGTCAACAAAGATGGGAGTGGATGGAGCAGCGGCACACACGTAACGAGCTGTGGCGCACATTTCAGTGGGACTGCGGAAAAGTTTCAAAGAGAAGCGGAAGGCACGGGAAGACAGCTTTTTTTTCTTCCTTTTTCATGAAAATCTTCAATTCTCTCATTTATTCTATCCGTTAAGACGGACTCTCATGGGTTCAGAATAGAGAATGCCATGTTATTGAGCTCATTTCCAAAACTGGTAAACGTGTAAATCGTTAAAATGGCAGGCGAAAAAAAACACGCAAAAAGCACGTACGTCAGCAAACCAATGTCCGGTTTCCCAAGTTTGGCAGCAGCAGTTGCATATCCCGATATGAATCCGGCTTGGAAGCCAGACTGCTCGATGATGAGGGCAGACAGCGCATCGTAGCAACCGGGGAGGATCAGATACTTGTTTTCGTTCAAGAGGCGGTGAATTCGGGTGTTGCCGCTGGCCATGGCGGTGATTCTAGAAACCTTCCGTGGTTTGGACACAAGGAAAGACGCGGTGCCATTGGAATGAAGTCTCGTGCTTCCCGAGCCAAGGAAAGAAGATTGAAGCGTGGAAGAGGATGCCTGAACCACGGAGGCGGCCATGTTCCTTGAGAACAGGATGTAAAATGAAGGGGCTGTGCTGAGTTTGTAAATGATGACAACAGGCACTAACTAATCGGTACTGGACATTTATGGTCATTGTGGTGTGGTGTGGATGGGACGGCCATTTTCCAATTCTTCCATTTTCTCAACCAAGGGGATGCAGGCGCTAAGGATGTCCAAGACGATTGTGTGACCTAAGATTATCAGTGGATGAGACCAATTGCAGCTGATGCGACTCCTCGGAAGGGCCGGGTCATGCGTGCGGCTCGTACTGATGACGCAGGAATGACCTGGCAGTTGATACAGAAAGCCTAGAATGCCGATCAAAGTGTGACCTGTATTTTACGTGGACACTGCCAACGAGTAGAACGCGGAAGACAAAATCGAGATGTGACGTGGAGATCCTGACTTGAACAAATGTGATTGGTTGTCCTCTGGTTGAGATTTTGCTGATTCGAGCATGGTGTCCATGTGTACAAATGATGAAGACTGTATCGGTATGGAAAGATTCATGTTAAGGGAACAGCAATGCCGGCCAACCGTGAGGATGCTAAAAAGTATCATGTCATGGATTCATGGGTTCATATGGGAAAACAAGATCTTCAAGCAGAAATAAACATGAGACAGTGCTGATATCCAGGTTATTTATGCTGTTTCCAATAAGTTTAAATGCAATATATGGGTACCTAAATTGATATATTTTGATGGAAATTGAGTTGTCAACATGATCAAATGATTGTACTCTTTCAAACATACCGTGATCTTATGCAACTATTGATCAGATCAATCACATTATTATGCTGCACTGTAAATTCTACATACTGCTGTACTTGGCCTTGCATGAATTCAATAGATATTATAAGCATACACGTGTTTCTGACAATACTGTTTAATCTCGACTCAGTAGTGTAAGGAAAACCGCTTTTCCTTACCGTCATACCCCGGATATACCCCTATGGGGGGCACTAATAAAACATGTTTTTTTTAGGGGGTGGGCTTATAATATAGTAAAATTATAAGCGCCGGCGTTTATGTTATGTCAAAAATGAAATTTGCTTTTAAATATACCAAATCGAAGCATTCACAAAGGCGGATTCACCTGAGTCGAGAACGTTCGACTCTGTGCATGCTTTGCGCGTGAAACGGCCAACAAGGCGTGGCATCACGCCTTCCACGCCTTGTTGGCCAGGCCAGGTTCATCGAACGTGAACCTGGCCCATGCCAGGGCACACGTACTTCGCATCACAGCAGCCCAATCAGGGTTGCATGCGATCGTGGGCACGTCGTGGTTCAGCCACGACGTGCCCATCAACAGCAAGATTCCCTGCCACCGAGGCAAAGAGCTGTCCCTTTCAGCTCCTCTGCGGGGAATCTTGACTGTGGCCACACTTTCCCCGCAGAGGAGGCCGGGCCGCGAAACTGAAGGGGTCTCGGGCGAGGGCTTCATACGGCCCTCATTCCCAACTTTTGGTTCAGTTTTCTTCGTTCGTTTGGCCTCCCGTGGCCATGGCGCGCCTTCCAGGCACGCATTTCTTGTTCCGCCGCCAACCTGCTGCTAGAGAAAATACCCGCAGAGACACTCGTGACTACTCTCAATGGCAGACGCGCCCTGCGCCTGTCCCTCCACCACAACCAGTAGGGCCTCCCGTTCCTCCCACGCCTCCTACGCCTCCTACCCCTCCCGCTCCCCCGGCGCCTCCTATTCCTCCCGTTCCTCCGGCCCCTCCTGACCCGCCTGCTGTTGGTGTTCCGCGACAGGGGGTTCTGCAGCTTCTCCTCCCCCCTGGCTACTCGGCGTTCGACGCCTTCCTGTCCGAGCCTGAACGCAGCGGCGGCGAAGGATCTTCCTCCGCACCGGAGCCACGATGGGGAGCGCCGGCTGATTGCCCGTTGGACGAATCCGCTACCGGTGCGGACGACGACGTGGAGTTCTGGGCTGCTGACGATCTCCCCGAGCACCTTCCAATTCCCTCCTTTCCCCCTCCGAATAAAAAAAGGCCCCACCCATCTCGCGATAATCGTGATGCCCGTCCTCCCTCCCCCAGGCACAAGCCGACAAAGCACAGGCGCAATTTGTGAAAACTTAAAAGGAAGAAGAGAGAGGGGTTGCACTAGCAAGAATGAGGATACAAATAGCAAACCCTAGAAGGGTTGTACTCGCTATAGAGCACCCCACTACAGGCTAGAGCATAATATTCTGACACACCCCCATAGCCAAAGTGGGGTGTAATCAGCAGAGCAAGCAAAGCAGTACAAGCTCAGGGTGGATCACAATGTCACCACACATTCTGAGCACAAGTTCAAGAAGCAATAGTTTAAAGTTCACAATTATGAGCAAAGCTAGTGGTAGTCACAACGGGCAAGTGAGGAGGAGGAAAGAGACTATGAGAGGAGAGGAGGTAGTGGGCGGCAGCTGAAGCTGCTGGCACACGGCGCAACTGGAGCAACTGGCACACGGGCAACTGGAGCAACTGGCACACTGGCAACTGGAGCAACTGGCACACGGGCTACTGGAGTAACTGGCTCCGCGGCTAAAAGTAGCGGCAGACGAGCAACGGACTCACGGGCGACTGGAGCAACGGGCTCACGGGCGACTGGCGCAACGGGCTCACGGGCGACTGGCGCAACGGTCTCACGGGCGACTGGAGCTGCTGGCTTCACGGCGGCCACCCCCTTCAACCTCCCCAAACTATCCCACTCCCCCTGACACACACCCGCTGCTACACCGCTAGCTCCACTCCCCCTTCACCCCCCCTTAGTACCACTCCAACGGCTCCAACAAGTCCACCCCCCCTCAGCGGCAGCTGCAGCACAGGGAGACGGAGGAGGAGGAGGAGCAGGGAACGGCACACAGTGGCTTCACCCCCATACCCCTCACCCCCAAACCCTAATTCAGGAGAACGGGCTGTAGGAGGGGTGGGGCGCCAGTAGAAGCACGGGGGACAGCGGGGAGGGCAGGGGCAGCGAGGAAAGGGCCGCCCACGGGCCTGGCACAGCCGCCCGAACCGCGCGCAGGCGGCCCGAGCTGCGCGCGGGCCTGGCGCAGCCCGTACGGGCCGCGCGCGGGCCTGGCGCAGCCCGTACGGGCCGCGCGCTGGCCTGGCGCAGCCAGTACGGGCCGCGTCCGGGCCTGGCGCAGCCCTTACGGGCCGCGCGCAGCCTGTACGGGCCGCGCGCAGGCCACGACGGGCGACGGGGGGCGACGCGCGGGTCCCCGTCGCCCGTCGCAGCGCCTCCCGAGGGCGACGCGCCGAGTGACGGGGCAGAAGCCCGCCGCGCGCCTCGGGGCGCACAGCGGGCAGAGAACCGCCGCGCGCCACGGGGCGCACGGCGGGCAGAAAACCGCCGCGCGCCACGGGGCGCACGGCGGGAAGAAAAAAAACTGCCGCACGCCACGTGGCGTGCGGCACAGAGGGTAGCAGTGGAAGTTGCAGCGGAAGCAACGAGGTGGTGAGCCCACCCACAGGATCGATCCAAGGGGATCGACCTGCTCTGATACCATGTGAAAATTTAAAAGGAAGAAGAGAGAGGGGTTGCACTAGCAAGAATGAGGATACAAATAGCAAACCCTAGAAGGGTTGTACTCGCTATAGAGCACCCCACTACAGGCTAGAGCATAATATTCTGACACAATTCCTACACCTCGCATGAGAAGCTGCAATGGATTATGAAGCTCGAAGCCGGAGAGATGAGTGTTCGGCGCATGTCTCACGAATCCGGCATCTCCCGAAGGTGCCTCACGGAGTGGAAGAACCGCAAGGGTGAGCTTGAGGGCGCGCACGGTGCACGATGTCGCCTGCACGGCCGCGGAAGGAGCTCGTGGTATCGCGACATAGAAGCGGAGGTGTACCGGAGGTTTCTCACCCACCGCAAGAAGTGCCTCGCCGTCTCGATCGCACGACTGCAGAAGTGGTCGCACGAGGTGATGAAAGAGTTACACCCAGGTGAAAAGTGGGCCGGCTCTCAGCGGTGGACTCAGCGCTTTCGCCGCCGCTGGAACCTGACGACCAGAGCGAAGACCCGGGTCGGCCAGAAGCTCTCGTCCAGTGAGTTGTTATTTGGTGGTATTGTTGTTTGTCTGTTCCCGTCTATTCACGGCTCTCACTCTGTGTTTGTGCTTTCTGTTCCTCCCATCCCGTGTTCCAGACTGCGAGACTGATGTCAAGAACTTCTGGACGTACGTGCGTCACTCCCGCCGGCAGTACAAGATCGACCTGCCGTGGATTCTAAACGCAGACCAGACGCCCCTCTGGCTCGAGATGCCATCCGAACGCACCGTTGAAGAGGTTGGCTCGCGCTCCGTGCCCGTCCGCAGCGGCGGCTACCAGAAAGAGCGGGTTACAGTGATGCTCGCCTGCACCGCCAGCGGGGAGAAGTTGAAGCCTTGGGTCTTCTTCAAAAGGAAGACTGTCCCCAAAGGAGATTTCCATTCAGGTATGCACCACACGT